TTTCCAGTAATGACAATACAGTTTGTTGCGCTAATTTTAGATGGGATCTTGCCCTTTCAAGTGATTTTAAACATTAAATTAGGAACATGTTAATGTGATTAAACAATGAAATTATCTATAAATAGGAAAAAAAAACAAATCTTAAAAAAACAGTAATATTCCGGCAGCTTGGGCGCCAAAATACTACCGTAAAATAACAGAAAATAACTTTCTCATGAAAATACAGTCATTTTCAGTAATGAAAATAGAGTTTGTTGCGCTAATTTTACATGGGATTCTGCCTTTTCCAAGTGCTTTTAGACATTAAATTAGGAACATTTTAACGTGATCAAACAATGAAATTACCTATAAACAAGGTCAATGAATGTGGCAATATGAATCACAATACGTAAATGTACAGAAATATACAGTTAACAGTTGGTTTAAATAATAATGGATTGCATGCCCTGGGACAGACTGACAGAGGCGAGGCTGCGTATCGCACCATCGGCCCCTCTGGCCATCACCAGTAGGCGAAGAGTCTTAACCACGGACACAATACCGAGAGTGTCCGAGCCGGGGCTCGAACGGCAATCTTCTGATCACAAGGCAAACTGCCAACTCTTGAGCCACGATCGCCCTAAATTGCAATGATAATAATACTTATGTGATGTAACACAAGCTTATATGAATCATGTTATATACTTTTCCATAGCATTACATTTGAATTCAACAGTTCAATCTTTCAAATAACAGACAGGTATTTGTGAAATCATGATACATTTGTGAATGTATTTTAACAATCTAAATATGCATATGTACATTTAATAATCATGACAATTATGTTTTATTACATTGCAGTGATTTAACGTTAATTTACATTTGAAATGTGAAATCACAGTCTATTTACATAATATACTTTTATATTAGGATTTTTTCCTACAGTCCAGCCATACCCGTGACCTTGTGGTTGTTAGTTCACATTCATTGGCGGATGCTTAGCGTCATGTTATTATGTGTCCCAACATCCAATGGCATGTCACATTGTTTTCATGGCCACACCCTCACCCCAGGTGCAGAGGCCTATTTCTGTTCAGGAATGTTGTGAATACTTTGAGATTTATATTACTTGCAATTCCTACCTCTACATTTATTTTTTACAATATATAATTAGCACAGCGTGGCTGTGCAATGTTTTATATATATTTTTTTGTTTTTATTCCTATTAATTATATTTTCACTTCTTACCTCTGAATTATTGAATCAGACCTAGATGACATGAAATTTTCAACAAAATTATAATTCAAATACTCCTTTAATTATTGATTATCCTCATTAATTTTCGACCATTTTATATATTTTTCCTTAGTGTTACATTTGAATTTAACAGATCATTCTCTCACATAATAGACAAATATTCGTGAAATTATGATACATTTCTGAATGTATTTTTACAATTTAAATATGCATATGTACAAAAAAATATATTTAAAAAACAAGTAAATTGTGTTTTACTATATTTACAATGATGTTATGTTATCTTACCTTTGACATGTAAAATCACAGTCTACTTATGTACATTTAATGATATTCTAGAAAGACAGTACAAAACTGTAAAATATACAGTGAGATACTTTAACATTACTATTTTTTGGAACAGTGTAATATGCTGCATTCAGAATGCTGACAGGGACTAGAAACAGAGCTTAACTCTCCCATATTGGCCTCTCTCTTCATTGGTTCCCTATTTCATCCAGAATCAAATATAAATCCTTTTTCTAACATACAAGGTCTTAAGTAATCAGGACCCATCTTATTTTACAGACACGATAGTATCATATCGTTAGCTTCATAGCATAAGTGCCTAAGTCATTTTTTGGTCAAATTGAGATTTTTGCCTAACTTTACTCCCCTACCACTGCTGCATCATCCTGTCCGTCTGCCTATGTCATCACAAAAAAATGACTTAGGCACTTATGCTATGAAGCTAACGATATCATCCTAGTAGAGCTCTTTGTTCTCAGACTTCAGGCTTACTTGAGGTTCCTAGGGTATTTAAAAGTAGAATGGGAGGCACCTCTTCTGTGGAACCAGCTCCCAGATTGGATTCAGGAAAAATACACCCTCTCTACTTTTAATATTAGGCTCAAAACCTCCTTTTTTGATAAAGCTTATAGTTAGGGCTGGATCAAGGGACCCCTAAGCATCTCTTAGTTTTACTGTTATAGGCTTAGGCTGCTGGGGGCCTTCCCATGATGCATTGAGCACTTCTGTTCCACTCCCATCCTTTCACTCCACGCATGTTTATACACTAGAACTGTGTGGCATTAAATTTCTCCCATAGTTCATGTTTTGTCCTGTCTCCCTATGGTCTCTTCTCTCATCTGTTTTCCCCTTAACTCCCAACCGGCAGATAGCTGCAGCCTTCCTGGTTCTGCTGGAGCTCTTTCTAACACTGCAGGTACTGTACTTAAGGTGCTATTCAATATAACACACTTTAAGCGACTACTGTTATGACTTGGCACTAAATAAAACTGAATTGAACTGAACTGAAATTTTTAAGAAATCTGTATAATGCCTGCCTGATCTGTTTCTGTCCAGAAGCAGTATCTTCGTTACTGTGTAATAAAGTGTGTTCATGGATCTCACTGTGAACAGACAATTCAAAATCCGACAAAGACATAGAGGTAATGCACAATGAAACACATCTGACTTAAAGTAGGTTTTGACTAAATCCAACTAAACCTTAAACACAGCACTAGAAGACATGGAATAGTAAAAAAGTCATGAATAAGGTGAAATGGATGTGGAAGGAACAGTGAAAGCTAGTATTGAAATAGAGGTTTGGGAATACAGACCACCTGGCAACTTTTGATGCCAATAATCAATTATGTACTTTAGTGTTTGGGTTGGAAGACTGTTCTAAATCTGGTAAAACAACACATATGTGTAAATGCAGTTACAACATTAGTTCTTGGTGGGACAGCCCTATCCTGAACATTTTTAGAGCAATATACACTATAAGTGGCTTAGCAATTAGTATATCTAATTGGGTGTGTTTGAGTGTGGCTGAGGGCCTTTAATGCAACATTTGCTTAGTCCCAGCACTCCTCAGGGCTACATATGTTGCATAGAGCATGTCATTGTGCCTGAAGGAGGAGGGCAGTACAGTCATCTGGCCGCATTTAGCTTTGCTTGCTGTTGTTCGGCCAACCCACTGTGCAGCAATTATGCCTGAAGGTAATGTGAGAAAAAAAGTAAGAGAGAGAGAGAAGAAGAGGGACTAAAAAGGAACTCTAAGGGTCACCTTTAAAGCACAGTAGGGGGCAGCGCATTTCTCTTCAGGTGTGGATCATATACAGTACTACGTGCTTGAAGAAATAAGTACACGGGCACTGACATACACTGCAATATACTTAGGCTGAGTACTCAAAAAAGATGTCCTGAAGAACTCATTCTTTACTTCCATGCATAAAAACTTTAAACCAAAGCTTATCTCATCAGCCAATTTAAGATCATGTTGCCTATATGGAAAGGAATTCATTGAATGGATGCAATATCTTGGGTTAACATGAATGAAACATTTAATGTTGTAACCATTAAAAATAGAACTTAAATGCTTGGACCTCACAATTATTGAAGCAGTGTGGGATACTGGGGGATACTAAGACAGAAAAGAACAAAAGGCAGACAACATCCAAAGAAGAACTTTAAATATCCTTCAAGAAGCCTGGAGAACTATTCCAGACAATTCCTATTTAAGGAAATTAAAGTAAAGCTCAACCAAAGAGAGTGCAGGCAGTGTGAAAGAATAAAGGTGTTAGGACTGTACAACTTCTGTTTTCCCCTGTATACTGTATTTTCATGTATGTTTATGCATATTTTTACAAAAATCACTACATCAATGTGGGACAGCTGTGGATCATCTGGAAGAGTGGGTCGTCTACCAGTTGCAGGATGAATCCCCAGCTCATGTCATAATTTCTCTAGGCAAGATACTGATCCTAAGTTTTTTTTACCAAATATCTTGAGGATCACACATACACTGCTTTTTTGAAAAGATTAGAACTGGGTAAATGAGACTTTCACTAGAGCTTAAAACTAAAAAGAAAGCCACTTTATAAGTACCAGTCAATTTTCCTAGCAAAATATAAAGAAACGGGACACGGCTCAAGACCTTTGCATAGCACTGTACATCTATTAAAACTTTTCAGCAACTGTATGTCTTGTTTCCCTTGCTTTAGAGGACCAGCTCAACTTCACTCTCCCATTGTGTGCAATTTTGCCCTCGTATTGATCCTCAGCAAGAAATGATAATTTCTACCTCACATGCTCACTTGGACGACATGTTTTACAGAACTTTAAGGCTTTTACCTTTAGAGCACAGGAGGAAAATCATTGTCGCCTGCCCTTTACAAACAACTCATAGCTTCTCTGGGGGCCACAGGGTGATCTCACTGCTGCCACTCACTGATATCTTACATCGGCTTCAGGGACAAACCTTACAATCCACTGCCAGGAATTCATTAACAACTAAGAAGCCATTAGAAATATTCCCACATTTTGTCAAGAAAAACAATCAGCTTTTTCCCATACTGGTAGTTCACAGCAGCTCAATTACAAGGCCATATGTTCCATGTTTGTATATGGTTGTTTATACAGCATTGTGTGAAAGAAGGGGTTTGGGGATTTTTTTGGGATTTTTCTATTTCTTTATACCTCACAGTGATCTTATGAACACTGAACACGGAACGTTATCTTTCTGCCCATAGTGTACTGGTTGAAGGGCTCTATTATTCCAGTGACTGGCCTGCCATCATGCTCTGGCTTACACTGGTAATGCTGTAATAGTACACTGCTCTTTAATTTACTCATCAACAGCCTTCTGCAAACAGCTAAGAGTAAGATGATAAATCCAGTCTAGGTTTAATTTAAAACGAGCACGCTCTGTACTCCATGGAAGAAAAGTTATACAGAAAAGCAGCCATGGGCCAAAATGAAGAGGATTACAGCTGGATTACCTGTGTTCTGACTCGTGGATGGAGAATATGACTCCTGACGTGGAGGACTTCTGCTGGATGGAGGCCAAGAAGGTAAACTCACTTTTACTCCTGAACAGCTGTACCACTTTTTCTGTGATGTGTGCTGGGGCGTGAACTGCTCTCCCAACATCTGAAGGAATAAAATGAAATGGAAAGAAATCATGAGCTTGTATCAACTCTTTTCACATGCGATGTGCTGTCTGCCTCCTCCGTGCACACTTGGCAAAAGCGCAAGCAACATATTAAGTGAGCTAATCACACATGGCGAAACACAAAGTAACACCTTTACACTTTGAAATATCTCTGAAACTGCTTTGGCAGTTCTGTCTGGCAAAAAATAAATAAAAAATCTGTTGATGCCAGCAGGCTTCATCCACAGATTCATACGCATGCTTAGACAGCAAACTTTGCATAGATGTGTGTGTGCGTCTGTGATATAAAAGAACTTTATGTTCCCTTAAAGACAGAAAGATAAAGGAGAACCAGCAAAGATCAAGATTTTCCCTTGGCATATCCACTTGCATTCGGGTAGCGCTCTTCCCTACAAGTTCATAGTTTGAATAAATATAACTATAATAATTTCTAATCTCGGTCTCATAGTAATTGTGATTTAAACTTATTCATGTAAGTTTAAATCATAGTCTATTTTATCCCTAAATAACAGCTGTACCGAAGGGGAGAAAACCTAAGTGCAAAAACATGATCAGTTACAAAAAAGTCAAGAACATGTCAGCACGCCTTAAACTCTTCAATAGACTCTTATAGCTATCGTACATCAAGGATTTCACATATTAGCACTGTTAGCGTGGGGATATAGTCACTGACCTACCAACATTTTAAATGCTGCATTTGCAAAAAGGACTGAACTCTCTGTTTTATCATTAACACATTAACATTGTTGGTAGATTTCAAACACTGAGTTATTTGCAGCTTTATACTGTTTTAAGCAGCAGTACATTTTATTGTATGTAAAATTATTGGAACTCTAAACAACACTGGGTTTAGAGACACTAAGCTACTAGCAGCTATAGCTTATTGTAGAATTAGCAAGTCTGAACCTGTAATAAAAATCAAAAACATCAAAATGGGACACTGCCAGGATCCAAATCATTTTTATTTGGCAGAGTCAGGCACACTGGTCTTCACACTTTAGACACTGAATTCCACCTGGAAAAGCAAACAGTGTCAAGTTTTAAGAAAGCTGTTGTGTGTTCACATCTTAGTGTGCAGCATCTGGCTTTGTCCTTGCTTGTAGTTTTTGTATTTGTTGTTTATAGAAATAAACCTAAATATATATGTCTAATGAGGTTCACTATAGTCAAAAGAAGATTCATATTCTGTCTGCAGTCATTCACCTTTAATAATAATAATAATAATAATGGATTGCATTTATATAGCGCTTTTTCGGGACCCCTCAAAGCGCTTTACAATTCCACTATTCATTCACTCTCACATTCATACACTGGTGAAGGCAGCTACAGTTGTAGCCACAGCTGCCCTGCCTTTAGTGGCACAGCTTTGTGCCACCAAAGATAAATGACAGACCCCCTTTCTTTTTAGAACAAAACATGAAGCAGCAGCAACACAGTAACAACAGCAAGAAGGGGTGGGTTGCAAAGCAGCTTGTAGAAATACAATATCTGAGGCACACTAAAACAGCTTCAACACCTAGTCCTATCTGCTATCGGGATGTGTAGAAGGGTTGGTTCTGAGAATTTCTTAAATTTCTGGTCTCCCTGAACTAATACTAGGCATATTCTCAATGTGCCTGCTGATATGTTCACATTTCAGTCACATGCTTTTCATTGTTATCTCCCTTAAAAGTCAGCTTTGAAACTCTCCTGGTGTGGCATTAGGATGCACTGCCTTAAAGTTAATTACTAGCTATGTAAATCTATCTTGGTGGTAAAATAGTTAAGCTGTGTTGTTTAAAAACGGAGCATTAAAATTGTGAATTAAGTATCACATATTATATTCCTCTGCTCCAATGGGCACGTTCAATATTCTGTTAGTAAAAAATGTGTCCTTTCATCATTTCAAGGCCAACATTGCAAGTCAAAACAATAGCTAAATCCCTTAGTGGCCAGCTTCACTGACCTCTCAAGCTAAAACAAGCCCATATATTACCTTAACTTAAAGGACTTCTCAAAGGACTCCCTGACTGGTCTTTGGTGCGGCTTCAGAGCGTAGTGGAATGGTGATGTCATGACTCGTGAATGAAGGAGCAGCCGAAAGCAGCTTTACTTTACTTTGGCATCAGATATCTGTGTTTTGATGCTTTTTACGGACATAATACCGAGGACCAACACCACATTAGGCAGGGCTGGCTGTAATATTTTGCTTAGTATATCTGAATACAGGTAAGAAACCCAAAAAGAAGATAATCACAGTGATAAATCTGAATGTGAGATTGCCATGGTTCCACATTCCCAGTTGTAGTCAGCTGACAGACAGCCCAGTGGGGAGGAGCGCATGGTTGTCTCAGCACATGGCTTTTAAACCTCCCCAGGGTGACAGTGGCCTCCCTGAACTCGCACTTAGCCTCCTCACCATCACAGCCCTGTTAAGAGAGAGCTACCCGCACCCCTCCAGTTCGATATGCAGGCTCCCTGAACAGATTCAGTCATTAGATCACCATTTCAAATTTATGCAGACTGCACTGTTTTTAAGATGTGAAGATACCGTTAGATTTCATGTTTTTCTTTCCTTCACTTGACAGACAAGTAAAATCCTAACTCATAAAGAAAGCAGCTGTAGTAAGTCACATTCGCGCTCCTCATAGCTATGATCAATACCAGCAAATTGTCGTAATGAGTGCCACTCAATACAAACAGCAAACAAACCAAAGCAGACACTTTTTCTTGTGCAAATGAGTTTGACTGCAAATGAGAATGAGAGTTAACAGTAGTTTATCTTCAGTGATGAACACTTTCTCCAAAGCAGTAACAGTGGACATGCTTCAGCTTGCATGTTAAGCAGCAGGCACAGTTTTAGCTTTAATATAGCAGGCATGGCATGGAACACATATTCGGTAGCTACAGCTACAATAATCATGAAATCATGAAATGTAAGTTGTTATGACATTTTGCTTCAACTCTTTTAGCTTGTTCTCTTAATCTCCAGTCTTCATTACTTACTTTCTTACCTGACAGTCTTTTGACTTTCATCTGTCAGGTTGGAGGCCTGGTCTCTTTCTTCTCTTTAGCTTTTTAGCTAAAGTTTTCCCTAAAAGTTAGGATGCTACGTAATCAAATATTACTGTATTTTGACATGTCAAGAAAGATCTTCACAGACTTTTTAAACACAAGTTACTTTTCACAAAAACATAACCTAAGCTGTGTTTTTCTCAAATTTAAAAAGATTTTTCTCAACATAAAATTTCTATGCACTTTAAAAATATGTTAATAAAATAATTTATGAGACAGTATACTTAGCGTGCTCCGTCCAGTGTAGCAGGAAAACTGCTCTGGATATCAACACTATTAATTATTAAGTATTTAGCATTTTTTCATTTTAGCTCGTTTGTAGCTAAAGATCAGTTTGATTCTTGAAATTTTCTCAAATTAAATGAGGGGATGACAACCATTCAACATCTTTTTTGTTTTGTATTTTTTGTAGACTGAATTTATTTTTAAGGGAAAAGGCCAGCTACATTACAAAACAAGTTTAATGATCTAATGCAAATAGATAGCGGTAGATAAGATTTTGTCATTCAGGAAGAAAAGATATTCTGACTTCTATTAGCTTTGTGACACTTTGCTCATATGAGTAGGCCTGCTTTGCAAATTGCCATCTCAGTCATCACATTATCATACCAAGTCTTCACTCATCCATTTCCACTGAGCACACAGTTGACAGCAGTTAAAAACTGCCATCACCACATTTGCTTTCAAATCCTGGTTTACAGTTTCAATAGATTTTCATGACACACTGACGCTTTAAAGGCTGAAAAGGTATAATTTGCATTCAGCATTTCTGCAATACAATGCTTTTAAAATTTAAATGAATTAAATATAGTTTACATTTGCAAATATTCAACATTTAAATGCATATTAAACATTGAATTATAACAATTTTATAATTTGCTTTAAATCCCAGCTGCTTACATGTAGAGACGCCTGTGTAAAGACTGAACCACAAAATGCTAACTTTCACATTTACAGGTTTGACGTACCCTTCCCACACACACAGTCCAAAGATTTTAGCAAACGTCTCTCACTTAAAATGACAGTGAAAACCACAATTATAAAGAGTATCCAAACAATAAAAGCTGTCAGTGTTATAACGACTCGACAGTCGACTAATTATGATGGATCAATAGTATGCAAGGAGCAGAACTGAAGCGAGGAATTCTAGCAGTCTACCATATAGCAGTCTTGACAATGTAGACATAAACAAACCCATTTACAGTGACAGGGGGAGCAGGTAGACCAGGAAGGTTCGTCTCCCAGCAGACAAGATGAAGCTCAGTGTAGCAGGCAGGAGCCAGCTGTCAACCCCCCTTCCCTTTCAATTTTACAGCTCATCGCTTTAATCAGGAGCCTGGCGGGTCCTCCCCCAGCTTGGCTAAATCTTACAGATGGCCTCTTTAAGTGTCAGTGAGGAACAGGAGTTAAGGTGCAGCCCAGAGAGACTGTACACACCAAAGACACAGCCAGTCATGTCCATGTAGATTCCTGGCTGGCCAGATATGGAAAACCCATGTCACAGCCAGATAAGCACGTTACTGTACTATGTTCAACTCTTTGCCAAAGGCACAAAGTAGATCAGAGCAGAGTCCAAGAGGCCAGCAACAAGCAAGAAAGTCACACTTTGCTGTTCAGTGGGAGAAACATGAATATGCATCTGCATGTCAGCATGCTAGCGCTGCCTCCTAAACATTGCGTTCTCATACAAATACATTATCAGTTACATCTAGAGGGAAAAATACCTTTAATTTAAAAGACAATTAACTTCTATCCAAGTGGCTAGCGCTGACTCCAATCAGGGACCATTTTTAAAATCCGTTGGATCCAAGTATACTTGACGGGGATAAGTATCACAAAAATATGCAGGCAGAAATAGAAAGTTCTGGAGGTCAATTATTAACAATGTGTTCATTAATAAACAAAGACACAGCTAAATCATGAA